TAATTTAATTATTCATAATGCTCTGTATTGCTGTAGTTTATTACTGGTATAATATAGTCTATATTTTTTATTATCTATGCCTTACTATAAATTATAAATCTAATATGATAATATATTTTATTTTGTTTCAATATTCAGGATCTAGGCTCAATAAAATAATGTAATGCCCAACAGTTCCTTTAACTTAAAAGAACTGATGGGCATTGCAGTTAGCCTACAGTCTACAATTGGCAATCATGATTAAATAATTCATCAATGAATACTATGCTGGAAATATTGATATGAAGTATTCAAGGGGAGATTGTCTGAGTCAATCATCTGATGATACCAGCTTTATCACCTATCTTAGGTTTCCACTTCTGTAACTTCTCAATTTATGAAATTTATGTGTCAAACTATGAAACTCTCACACTTGGGATATTTTATAGAGACTAATCACTAAAGTATGTTGACTCAAACTATCCATTTTCATCATTAAAGAAGAGAACATGAACTCCATATAAGAAAATATGCTTTCCACTTGTGGTAGCTATACATTTGTTCCAAAATGCCCAGGGAACACAATGCAAAAGTTGACTTTTCAAGTCTAAGTAAATTGAAAAATTGTTACTGCAAAGAAATTTAATAAATATTTACATGTATACACCTTAATTGTTTAATTTTGTTCATTTGTGATGTATCTCAATGTTTTATTTGACAATTTCCTGGTTGTTTTTATATTATTCAACAAAAACGCCGCATTGCGATAATCAGGAATTTTGAGTTTCATTAAGTTTCAGGGATTGAAAAATTTGTAAATGAAGTTTCAGGTTTCAAGAAATTTTTAGAAAGGGATTTCAGGGTTCACAGCTTTCAGTGAGTGGCACCCCTGTGCTATCATCTTCCCGTGAAGTAGCCAGGTGTTGCTGTATCGTAACAATGGGCGTCAGGGTCATGATTTTGGGTACGGCAGGGGGGCATATCCACCACCCCCAATTTTGTTGGTTTTATTTAAATTGCTATGTACTATGGCGCCTCCAGTAATAAACAACTTAACAAACTGACCAAGTTTTGGTTTTGCCCCCATCCCTTCCCTTGAAAAAAAGCTGACATAACGCCCCCGTTGGGCATAGTCTATAGTAGCTGATGTATCATATTCACCTTCTTCTTCTTCTAGATCTTAAAGGCCCACGATCAATTTATAGATCATTTTGGCTCCAATGCATGTAGATGGGATTAGCAATGTTTCTGTGCCTGGTGTTGATGAGGAGATTTCACTGATTTCCAGAATTGCCAGTGCCACTTTGTGAGGGAATCATGCACTAGGGGTTTGAAGGCTTGAGGCAATAAACACAAATGTGTCTAATGTTGTCGCCTCAACCGTTCCTTTTGAAAGATTGTTCCAGTCCCTGATTGTCTTGGGCAGGAATGAGCAGCTCCTATACTGGCTTCTTGCTGGTATGAGCCTGAATTGCCTGTCATGGCCTCGTCGCTGTCTATG